CTGTTGACCTGCAGTAACTGTGGCCCCCGAAGTAGTTTAGTTGAATAGCCCTGTCTTAGATGCCATAAACTCACCTGCTTTCAAGCTGAAAAAAAATCCTGGAGCTTTACGGAGCATTTCAAATTACTATTCATATTGTTCTCAGATGACAATAACATATGCCTGTCAAGCAGTCAAACCCACTGCTTCAGTGAAATATTGAGTTTTAATTATGTTTTCAGGCTAAGTGGGCATTGTTATATTCTTTTGAGGACTGCAGCCTGCTTGAGCGAAGTTTCCTGTCACAACAAACCCCTAAATAGGACACTCTGCTTTATTACCTTTCTTTCATGGCCCAGTTTAGATGCCTCTAATGTCTACTCAAAATGTGCTTTGTGTATTGGCTAAAATAAATAAAAAAGTGTTTTCATTAATAAAACATTTAGATTGCAGAAAAATGAAAGAACAATTAGATTAGTAAACTCATTACTTATAATTAAAGATGCTCTTCTGGATCCCTGAAGTATTAAAATAGTCAAAAAGCTTATGGAACAATTTTGTTATCAGGAGAAAAATATCAGCATCATAAACTGCAGATGATCATTATCTCAGTTGAGAGGATCTCTTTTCGCCAGCCATCTGTTTGTTTAGCCTTTTCTATTTAAAAATACTACAGAAAAACTCTGTAAGACCCTTTAATTGATACTGAGCAGTGTTTCCCCTAGGGAATTGGTCTTGGCATTGGTGGGGGCGCTATATATATATATATATATATAGTTTAATGGTGGGGAAGTGCTGTTCAGGGTTGTACAAGCATACAAAATCATTACATTTAAGAAAAACAAAGAAAAAAAAACTGCCTCTTACATTTGCCTGTATGATGACCAGGTACCGTGTTATCTCCTCATAGTTTAGTCTTTCTCTGAGAACCACAGACCCAAACAATGTCAGGGGGATGTCAAAGGTTTTGTTGGCTGTCTGAAAAAAACAGATACACCATGTTACTAACGTGGTCAGATGCTCAGGTTTTACTTTACATTCGATGTACAACAAAACCTTTATTGTGCCAAGGAGTTTYACAACTAGAAACTGAATTATTTCAATGGATTTAGAAACAGAAGAACTGAAACCAAGATACACAGTCAGCAATTTAAACCGAATCCTTTCTGCATTTTAAGGACTGCTGTTAAAAAAGGTGAACAAACTTAGATCATAGCTTGACTGAATTTGAAGCGGCACACTGATAACTCACCGGATCTTTARGGTTGTACTGGATGGTGTACTCTATCTGTCCATTCGGACCATCATCAATATCTGTTGCACCGTTATTCCCAGAGAAACCAGAGAAGATAGTTGTTCCGACCGGAGTCAGCTGTGAACACAAGGGAAAGGACTTTTATTAGCTCTGTGTAGAAACTCTTGGTACATGAWGTCAAACAGTTTCAAACTGTGTATCAGAGAACATTAAAGTTTATATTAGACTTTACAGTGTTGTGCAGACATCCTTTTACCATAAGCGGCACAGATGATGGGAAAAGAAAAGAAAATACAACTAMTGTGTCTTGAAACTTTATGAAAGCTTTGCTCCATTTGGTCATAAAACTAGATAGCAGCTGCAAGTCATTTGTTCACTTTTCAGTTTCACTTAAAATAAGACAAAAATATTTAATTATTAGAGGTGCAGCAATACATGTACCCATATCGAACCGTATCGAACAGTGCTTTAGGTTCAATACACACTTGTATTGAACAATACAGATTTTTAAAATTTATTTTATCARCTTGTCTTCTGAAGATGCTCTGTGTTGAAAGATCAGTGGATCTGTGATCGACTACTCCACCTAGGCTGCATTTTTGTGCGCAGATCCACTGAGAAACTTGCTGTTTCAGCAACATTTAATTCAAAAACTGTACTTTTGAGGTTAAACAAATGGTCATAATTATTTTAAATAAATTACAAGTTAAAAGGGGCATGGACATTTCTCTTTTTTGTATCGAAAAAATATCGAACCGTGAGACTGAAGTATCGAACCGAACCGAATTGTGAATTTTCTGCATCGTTGCACCCCCATTAATTATATAGTTCCTTTGAAATCAACTTTTTTTTTTGGCTAAGTTAAATATTTGGCAACATTTTGTCTTTTTTCAGGCAAAAGACAAATGTAGTCTTATTTTTTTCCCCAGCCATGTTTCTGGGGATTTTGAAAAGGTGGCAAAACAGAAGCTCTTCAATCTCCAGCCACAAACACACAGGGACAGACAGGACTAACCATTCACACCTAGGGACAATTTGAAGTTACCAGTTACCCAAACATGCATATATTTTTTTTATCTGTGGGAGAAAACCAGAGTAAACAGAGAAAATGCATGCAGGGGGAGAACATGTAAACTGCATCCAGAACGGCCCCTGGCCATGAGGCGATCCTGTGAACCTTTGTGTTGTGAGGCGACAACTCCATGAATAAATTATTCAATAATAAATTTACCTCATTAGGTGGTTGGCTACAAAAGTGATTAAGACAAGAACTGTCAGAATAATGAGGACACACAGTAAACCATAATATGTCTTACACTATTGTGACAAAAGGAGCAGATTAGACTGTGTATTTATGCTTAGAGAATTAGTACTCCAGCTGTCTCACACACTTTACCCGCCTTGCCTACTGATGGTGGTCAAAGGGTCCAGTGGTGCTGGTGCATGGCAGCCTCGCCTCTGTCAGTGTGCCCCAGGGCAGCTGTGGCTGCAATTTAGCTCACCATCATCAGTGTGTGAATGTGTCTGATGGGGATTGATAATATTCTATATAATTTCAGTCCATATATCATTTACCATAGTGCCAACCATCTGACTGAAATAAACCAAGCAGGCCTGGTTCAGAGTTTTTTTTTTTTTTTATAAAGAAGGCGGCCACATGATAGTCATGCTTAATAAAAGTAATTTCAATAATTAAGTGGAAGCATGAGTGTAGGTAATTTGTAATTTCAAATGTAGTTATAACTTTGGAGAGGTCTAGAAGGATGTGTTGGTGGAGAAAATACAGATAAAATGCAAAAAGGGAGAAATAAAAAAAATTGAGTGGGAAAAGAAAGTTGAGGGCTGTGAGGAAAGAAAGGCGTAAAAACAGAGGAGAGGCTATGAGAGAGAACAGAGTTGAGAGGGCAGATTGATTTAGGCAGGATGTGGAAGACTGCATAATGATCTGTTCTGCTTGGTCTGCTCAGGTCTGTGCAGGCCAGACAGCAAGCCTTATTCAGCCACATGCAGTTTAACTTTGATCCTCCTCTAGTTGAATTCTTCCCCTCTTGACACCAGAGGACAAACTAATGGTGGTGATGTCATTTAGAATGTTCTAAAATCCACAAAAKAACGGGCTCCCAATAGCTGACTAAACGTTGCTTTTTCCTTTGTGTTTTCCTTCAACTTGTACATAAACAGAAAACAAAACAAAAGAAAAAAGAGAAACTGGTAGAGATTTTCCATTTTTAAAGTGTTTCAGCAGAGACGTTCCTTTTGGTACTTTTATAACCACACTACGAAAACCCATTGTGCAAAATGTAAAAAAGCAAAATGCTGCTGTTTGTAACTCACATAAATATAGTCTGAAGCTCTTCTCTTTTTTAAATTTATTCACCTTTATTTAACCAGGCTAATCCTGTTTAGATCACAGATCTATTTTGCAAAGGAGGCCTGGATCTGAAAGGAACCTACTGTATCTTTGATCTGTTGGTCGTGTTTAAATAGGAGAGTCTGAATTCTGAACTGGTCTACCTATAGGCCAGACCTCTCACCAAATGAAAACATTTAGTTTTCTTACACACATTTGACAAAGACCCAGAACTGCAGCTAGAATCCTGCACGAGACAARAATGGGACAACCTCCAAATCACTCTAAAAATGAAATGTTGGATTTACTTAACCATGTTATGTTACCTGGTTCCACTTAAAGAGTTGAGTAAATTCAAAGCAACATGTTCTTTGGTTAAAAAACTGGTATATTGCTTTGAACKTAYTCAACTCAGTTAAGTGGAACCAGGTAACATAACATGGTTAAGTAAATCCAACATTTCATTTTTACAGTGTCTCAGGTCCTAAATGTTTGTTAAAAGAAGAACARTGGTATACATTGCTCTGTCTTGTCTTCTTTGAGATGTTTTGCTCTCATAAAATTCTAATTGAACCTTTTTCCTCAAAAAAAAAATCATATAGTTTAAACATTCTATGTGTTCGCAAGAAAGAAAATATGGCTACGTTCACACTGCAGGCAAATCCAACCCAAATCCGATTTTTTTGACCCATCTGACTCATATACGATTTTTTTATGACAGTCTGAACGAGACAAATCCGATTTTTTCTAATCCGACCCAGGCCGTTTCAGTATGTGGTTTTAAATCGGATACATATCTGATGTTTTCAAAGTGACTGCAGTGTGAACGCTCATGTCACATTCATCTGACTTTTTCATCAGGAGGAGAGGGTGAAGGATCGATAAGACACTAACCTCAAGTCACGCTGTTTAAATCTGCAGCTCCATGTGTTTACAGCTCCAAAATACAAGTCCAGTTGCTTCGTCTTTTTACTTTTAATTTTCCACGTAGATAGTATGATAATCACGATGTCCAGCCTGGGTCGGAGAGTATCGATCCTACAGTTAGATACTCGGTCGATACTTTTTTCCAGCTCGTAGTTTCGTTTAAAAAAAAAAAAAGCTTCACTGGAGCATCCCGGTCAGAGGCAGGTTCAGATATAAACACTGAACTAAAGAAGCAGGTCAGATAATTATTTAATCGGCTCTGATTAAACAACAACTTCCGATTCGATGCGCAAAATGTAGCATCCATGCTAGCTCTGTAAACAAACAAGCCGGGTGATGAGACGTCACATCTTTTACTGCGCATGTGTGTCACATCAGTGCTGTGTTGCGTTCACACACGGATCTAATACAGGTCACATTTAAAATGTAATGTGAACGTTCACACAAAAAGATCGGATTTTTTCAAAAAATCGGAACTGAGCATTAAGACCTGCAGTGTGAACGTAGCCTATGTGTTTCTGAGATGCAGAAACATGACAGGCAGTTTTTCCTCAACATTTTTTTTTTCAGGATTGCTGTTGTACATTAACCTCAGAAATCATTTAAAAAAGCTTGCAACAGTCAATTTATTTCACTTAAGCTAAACCAAATGTAGTCAATATCTTCTCTTTAGTTTTCCTCAGAACAATCGATGCAGCACCTGCCAGCATGATAGACAGCAGTGAAGGGTAAGTAAGATGAACAGCTCGATTTGAAAAAAGACACGGCGAAGCATTTCAGCTACACTAACATTTATTTTAAATATTTTTGATGCGCTGTAGGTTCCAAACACATGCATCTGGGTGGGACATATGTGCGGGTGTTTACCTCACTGACGGCAACATAGTATCTGGGCTGCTGGAAGCGTGGTGCATTGTCGTTTCGGTCTCGAACAACAATGCGGACCTCGTGTAAAATCACCGTCCCAATCAGCTCGTTGGTACACTGAACCTGAACCACGATGGACTGGATGTACGATGGTGGCTGAAAGTCAGCAACAGAAATACAGGCATTAAAACGTGAAACACATCTTAGCAAATTACAACATTAACAGAATATTTTTCACAGAAGTTATCAGTGATCGTGAAGTTTGTATTTGTGCCAAGTCACACTTTAAGATAGCGACAGGAGATGGGGTGATTCACAGACAAGATGGAGCTGAATTTTTTTGGTTCTCACAGCAGCAAACGATGATGAGTGAGACATCCATGAAAATGTAAGTCCTACATCAAAAATTCCCTTTATGGGATAAAAAGTAAATGTACTGGTGCCAATTTAGTGTGAAATTGTTAGAAGCGCCGTGCTCACAATGATTTCATTTCTGTCAATGCCAAAAAGAAAGTAGTGATGGAAAGTTCTCCAACTCTTTCAAGTTTTCTACTTTTTTGTCACGTTTCAAACTCATCTCAAGTTTTTCAGTGCGCATTTTCTCTCAGTGTTGCAGAATCTCTTCTCATGAAAAACAATATAAAAACAACCTTCTATAGTGTTTTGTGTGTTTTACAGAAACACCATATTCTAACATTGTGTTCATAGGGACACAATTACATTGGCATTGAAAGTGAGTGTACCAGTTTAAGCAAATGTCTTCTTCACATGAATACATATTAAATGTCAAATAAATGACAAGACAAAATATTCAACTATAAAATACCAAAATGCACAATTATTGTATTAAAATGTAAGTGTAACTTTAGGGCTAAGGGCTTATTAAAACTGGGATAAGCCAATCAAAGGGAATGATAAATTGTAAAAATGGATGTATGGGAGGTTTTGAGGTCTGCAGCTTTCAGAATTGTGTCAATACTAWAACAACAAAGACATCCACAAACTTACAGTTCACCTAAATTAAAATAGATTATTGCAAACATGTAAATTTTGCCAGTTATTGACAGCATAGTTGAAAAAGTCAGAATGTGTCTGTCCTGTTTAAAATGTATCAARACTAAACCTCTCCTCCTATGTTTCTCAAAGTATAAGACTTCTGAAACAAATGCTTTTTACTCATYACAGCAAACTCTTCAAACCAACCGTCAAGCACAGCGCTGGTGGTGATCTGGCTTTGTTTTGTAGCCAAAAGACCTTGGTTTCTTGCCAACACTGAATCCACCATGAATTTCTTTATTCATCAAAAGTATTCCAGAGTAAAAATATGGGTCATTTAGATGACAGCTGAAAAGTGGCTATAGTTAGGTTGATCATACATTAAAAGAACAACTACTCAAGACACACACACATGCATAAAACAGGTTAGAGCAGAAAATATTTTTTTGCCTTACATCTCTATCAAGAACGCGTCCAGTGCTGTTTAGGTAGAGAGCCTGTTTAGAAGGATCAAGGATCACCCAGTAGTCGTTGTTGTCCCTTAAAGACAGAGAAATGGTTCGATTTGGACCCTCAGCCACACCATTGATCTGCATGTTCCCCACCAGCAGTGTTCCTGAAATAAAATATATATATTATACATTATATATATATACATAAATATGTGTAATAATTCTGCAGTAAGCCTAAAATTCAGTGAACATTTCATTAACAAAAATATTTCTGGATTGAACATATTAACATAAAATGAGGCAGAGACGTTTTAAACAGATCCCTTGTTTTTCTTCATGTTCTCAATTATTGTTTACCTGGAAGTTATGTGTACGTTTGTTGCCAAGTCAAAGGCAATTAGGGCAACAAACAGAGAGAGGGTAAGAGGAAAAACATAGAATAATTTAATTAAGGAATTCCATCCAGATATGGAAGTTGTTCTGTTTGCTTTGCTCATGACAGTTCCTGAGAGGCCGACTGCAGCAGAAAACAAAACATTTAAGGCAAAAAGAGCTTTAGTCTCTTGGGAAAATCAACACAATGTTCCAATGACTGTCTTGCTTTCATACGCACCAGTTTAAGAATAAATCTTAAAATAAAAAATGTAACATTTTTATAATACAGAGCGTTGATGGAATAAATGTTGATTGTACAAACATGGAAAGAAAGTAAAGCAAGAGTGTGGAAAACAAATCAGAAGACAAGTCCTTTGTTTACATTTAAGCTTTGAACATTGTTTGGACACACACATTCACACGTACAGTCTGATGCAGCTATTTTTATGGGGACCTGGCATTGACTTCCATTCATTTCTACAGCCTAACCCTGACCACCAACCTTAAAGCTAATCTCACATGTATATAGCTGACCCTAAAATTGACCTAAATTCAGTTCACACCTTAGCCCTAAACTTAACCCCCGACCCACCAATGACGTTTCCCCTAATGGGGACTAGATACAGGTCCCCATAAGTACCAGACAGGTCCTCATAAGTAGCCTTAGGTCCCCACAAGTAGGTGTGTATGCCAAAAAACAAAAAAACAAAAACAAACAAACAAAACAAAACTGTTCCACAGTGTAGGGAATACCCGTCTACACACACACACACACGCACACATGTTTGCCCAGCTATACATTTGGGGACATTCCATTGACTTCCATTATATTTCTACAGCCTAACCCTGACCACAAACCCTAAGGCTAACCTCACAGGTACCTACCTGACCCTAAAACTAACCTAAACTCAATTCACACATCAGTCCTAAACCCAACCCCCAACCCACCAATGGCATTTAAACCAAACGGGGACTCGACTTAGGTCCCCAAATGCACCAGTTGTCCCCAAATGTAGGCATTTTGTCTTAAAATTGCCCCCAAATATCACCAAAACCCCCCCCCCCCCACACACACACACATAGAAGATAAAGCAAGGAGGAAGAAATGGTGACTTTCCTACAAAGAAAAACAATACCTTTCTTGTTTCAATGAATCTTGCCAATAAAAAACAAGCAGCTTTAACATCTGTATCATTAAAACTCCAACTCAGGGCAGTGATGTGATAAAATTTGCAACTTGATTTCAGCTGGAAATTCAGCTGGGATTACCTGGAAGATGAACACAGCCAGGATTGTGTTACTCATTAATAGGTGGACATTTGTCCATCGCTTTCTTACAATTTACTATTTTTTCCCCTTCAAGGAATTTCTAAAGAATAGATCTGCCATCCCAATTTCCAGCCTTCTTCATTCTACTGCAGCAGACAGCAAGCTAGTTTATTTGTTATTCTTGTGTCTCATTGATCTTTTGTCTGAATGAGGTTAGTGGAAGTTAGAAACAGCCAAATAAAACCAGAGCTTTCTAATATCAATAGCTTGTGACCCAAACTCCAAAGTTAAATCAATCAGAGCAGACTTAAATGACAGCATGCTTTAGAGTTAGAGCACATGAAACTGGAAACWATTTTTACCTTTATTTGTTCAGCACCACTGTTTTCTTTCTTTCTTTTTTTGTGTGAATTTGATTATATAATATCCCATAATATTTTAATTCAGAAAACATTTCTTTCTTTCATTGTTGTAACCTTTGCAATGTCTTGTTATCCAGATGATAAAAATGACAAAGTTTAACAAAGTATCCAAAGGGCAAAGTGATCAAAGAGAAACATCCATCCATCCATCCATCCATCCATCCATCCATCCATCCATCCATCCATCCATCCATCCATCCGTTATCTTAACACACATCATCCTTTCAGAGTCACTGATGTCACTTTGTGTTTTTATCCAGCAGTCACAGTCAGAGTTGTAAAGCAACTAAGTACAAATACTTTGTGACTGTCCTTAAATAGAATTTTTGGGTATCTGTACTTTACTTG